TCTATTTTAATAGATTCAAGAACATTATTGTTTTAATTTTGTTTTAATGTTCTTCCAATAATACTTCTTCTCATTATAAATATTTTCATTTCTTTCTCTTATTTAACAATACATAGAATTATGTGAAGAAGTGTTTTAAATTAAATATTCTTACTACTCAAAGTTCCTAGAATGAATTTAAATTATATTTAAGAAACACTTTATACAACCAACTTAAAAACAGTAATTGGTTATAAAAGTAGTTATTATTAATTAAAAGAAACAATTTATAATGATTATTATGTTTTATTGAAATAGTTTAAAATAATAAGAAATAAGTTTGTTAAATTGATAAATATTTTATTATTAAGAAATACAAAAGATAATTCAATTCAAACTCTGAATTATTCAAATAATTTTTAAATATTCATTTCAATTTGTTTACCTTATTTTTCAATTATTTTCACTGTTATTATTTTGTTTAAAGAATTTAAGTGTTAATATTAAACAAATAACATTCATTATTTATCATTTATAAATAACTATTCTATTTCTTTGTTTTGTCTTTTTTTGAATATATAGAATGAGTTTTAGTTCAATTTATTAAGAAATTTTATATTTTTTTTTAATTTCATTATAACTATATTATCTTCTTTTTCTAATCACCTGTTTCTTTCTTTCAATTGTTTGGAGTCCATATTTAGTTATTAAATTTATCAGAAGATTGGACAATTTTTTTCTCAAAGTAAAATAGTTAGTATGATTATTTTATGATAATTGAGATAAAAAGATTAATTAATTGTAATTTGACTCTTTATTTGATTGTATAAAATGAATATTTGATATATTCGAATACACTTTCTTGTTTTTTTAATAATTTTTACAATCATTCGTTTTGTTACTATAGATATTTACTGTTTATACTGTTGAATTAATTAGTTATAAATAAATACTTTAAGAAGAAATAAATAAGCTATAGTTTATGTTAAAGTTTAATGAAATAACATAAATAAGATATAGCTAAAGTTTAACTCATGATAGATTTATGTTTTTCAATAATTTAATTAACAGACTCTATATCACTTAGTATATTTTTGTCATTGTTATTGTAAAAATAAAGAGAAAGAATTTAGAAAATTAGAAAGAATAAGTTCAATAAGTATTTGTAATTATAATTAATTATCTTCTTAGATACACTTAATTGTATCTGCTTTAAGTATATTTTTAAGAAGTACATCATAATAAAACATTTTTAATATCATTTAATCAAATTGAAATAAATAAAAACTCTTTAAGTACATTTAAAATGATGTTTCAATTAATTGGTTCATAACAATTATTAATGATCGAGAACTTGTTATTTAATTATTTTTAATGAAGGATTTCACAATCACGAAAAGTGATTTGATTTTGTTTAAAAATGAAATGATTTGGAGATTTGATTAGAAGAGATTGTACCATTGATAAACTAACTCTTAACCTATTTAAGTTGTCTTCAAACAAACTGCATAAATGAAATCACCTTTTGTTCCATGTTCTAAAGAAACTTATGAAGTTATTGAAGGAAATGAGATAGAAGCAATCAGATCACAAAGTAATCCTTCTGACAATGTTATTTCATCAACATCTTCTTTTCAAAGAAAATCTCCAAAGAAAACAAGATGGAGAAAAAGTCTCAAAGAAAAAGCAGTAACTTTAGGAAAAGATCTTGGGATATCAAACACACTTCGGTATTTAAAGAAGTTTCCAGAGTATCAGAATTTATGTGCATCAACACTTTATTATTGGATTAGAGCTGATGAAAGAGAATCTTCATCTATTTCTCAACAAAGGCTATAATTTATACTTATTTGTTATTTAATAAAACAATAATTTGACAATAATAAGAACCAATTAAAATTCATAAAAATAACTGTTTAGAACTCTTTAGTTTTCAATTATAAAAACTTGAGTATCAGTCGAACAAATTATCATTGGATTTTGTTAGTGAATACAAACCAATTCACTAAATTTGATTATTCAATTATTTCTCCATTTGTCTTTACAAATATCTTTGTAATTACTTCTTTAAAGTGTTGTTTCATTTTTTTCAAATATAAATTAAATTTTTGAGTTGAATGATATTTATATTCACTGAAATATTATGAAACAGTTTTAAACCATCTTCTTTTGTAACTTTTATATTTGATCAATAAATATGATATTCTTCATTGTATAAACTAGTTAATAGAAGAAGAAAATTTTGTTTTCCAGAACAATTAAACAGAATAAATTATAATTATATTCATTCCAATCACTATCAACCTAACTTTTTTACTTATAAATTCATTTTTATAAATAGTTTCATAAATCTTTTATAATACAGGTATTATATTATTTGTAATGTAATTTTGATTGTTGTACATATTAAATAGATTTCTAATATTTATTTAATTAAGAAGAATATTGAGAGTTGACTGAATTATGTTATTTTCTTTCTTTTTCTTGAAATTCATGAATAATTCTTTCATCTTCTTTGTTAATATAACCCTTTTATTCTTTTGTTACTTTATTAAGTATTAAATATTTATCTCATTTCGTAACTTTATTCCAGAGTTAATTGTAATTCCAAATTCTTCTAACTCCTGATAGGTATTAAAATAAAAATAAGTTCTACTATTGTTTTCATCTGGTTATCTAATACAACTTTTTTTCTTTTAGTTTTTTATTAAACTTCTTCAAAGGAATTTTATTATGTTATGTTGGAGAAGTTGTTTTATTTTTTATTGAATTTCAATGCAATGAGGTTATTAAATTAAAATCTGAATTGTATACTTCTCCTTCTTTTACCAATTGAAGTAATACTCAAGTTTAGCAACTTATTCTTCCTTAACAAAATTGTATATTTATTTAAATGTTTAAGTATTTGGAATTGATTTAACTATATTTAATTTGTGTTATTGTATTCATTGAATCAACTTTTAGATAATGTACATTTATAGTGTTGTTCAAAATAAAATAAAAATATTTAAAGAATACTAAATTATTATTCCATCCATTAAAATTTTATTGGAGAAAATTAGACTAAATAAAATTAATAGTTAATTTTGATTAGACTATTAAATATAATAATTCCATGATACTTTCGTTCAAA